CTGCTTCCTGATGCTGCAACAGGCGTGGGATTTCTGAGTGCCCTGGTCATTTTTAAACTGTCCCTCCCATCTGTGATTAGTCGATGCATGGAACTCCTGGCTCCAACTCTTCATTCACATTCCTTCCCATGCATGCCACCTCTCTAAGCCACAAATCTGTGCCAAAATCACTTTTGCCACACCCACTACAAAACTTTGTAAGAGGACATAGCACAGAATATTGATCTGGTGAGTGGATTCAACTAGAAAATAAATTCATCAACTAGTTAGTTTGGTGCTTGCAAATTTTAGGCAACTTTATAGGCAAAAAGAAACAGTTAAGATACATTTAATCCCCCTTAATGGGGATTGTGTCTTCTGGTTAGCAGTCAAGTGCCTTAGGCACTATGCTACCAGCCACTCCTCGGAAGGAAGATGAGGCAATCTACTTGCGTAGTGATACTGCCTTGGAAACGCAAGGAGGAGTCGCTATGAGTCGGGTCTGACTCTGCAGCACAGAACAACAATGGTGATTATAGACAAAAAGCATTGTGTCCTCAATATTTGGGCCACAACAGAAGGTTTTCAGGGAATTTGTTTAGATCAATGCAGTATATATATTATGTGACCATTGATTACAGAACTTAATTAAGTTAAGGAGCTCTGGTAGCAGCCTAAGGCACTTGACTGCTAACCAGAGGCTGGCAGTTCAAGCCCACCAGCCACTCCTCGGAAGGGGGGTTGTGCAGTCTACTTCTGTATGATACTGCCTCAGAAACCCAAGGAAGGGTCGCTATCAGTCGGGTCTGATTTGACAACAAACAACAACAACAATAAAGTTTAAGTTGGGGGGAATATATCTATATATACATACATACGTGTATATATATATATCACCAAAGAATCATTCTTGATAATCTATTTATTTATCTTTTTCTAAACATCTTTTTTGTCATGCTAGTCATTAAGGATAACATTGAACTTAAAATCTGTACACCTTGCTAATAAGTCTTATGCTCAAAAATTAAGTGTAGATGAAAAAGACAGGCGGAATCGGGAGCCACCAATTTGAGATCTGAGGGTCAGAGACAACTGTTACCAATGAGTGACAGTAACTACATTAAGACAGTAGTGTAAGAGGCTCCACAGATGCACACCCTAAAAGTCCTGAAGAGCAGCCATCACCCTCTGCTCTTGGTTGCCTCAGAAGTACCTGTTATTCTTATAAATTTTTCTCTACTTTTACACTTGCGTATGTCAACAAGTGAAGTGTAGGCTAGAGAGAGAAGAAATAGGGTAAACTGCTACCACTCTGTACCACAGTCAAAAGCAACAATAAAGATTGCACAACCCATCTGGAACTTTGGCATGATAGTACAATTCTCTGTCAAAAGAAGGCATCTGAACAGAGTATTTAACAACATGAGATTTTTTTAAATAATCACTCCCAAATGACAAAATAGAACCCCTCCATGAAATATGAAAATCTTTACCAAAAAATAGTTTATTGCACAAAATTTAAGGAATTCCCAAGCACAGTTAAAGTTTTAGAAAATCAACATGCTTTTTAAAGTTACAATTATACACGATGCCACCTTTTTCCTGGAAAGTCCCAACCTGAGGACTCCCTTTTGTGAGTAAATTTTTAACAGAAATGAATTAATGACTCAAAACCACTGAATCTCCTAGAGCCTCCCTAAAACATTACCCCTCAAGGATCAGATTGCAACCTGAGACCACCACAGGATGCGACTTGCATGGCACTTCCAGTCAACACACTTGTTTGGAAAAGGCCCCAATGTCTCCACATCGCAGCATTACTCATGCCCCAGAGATCCTTTAAAGGATCAAATACACAGGCCACATTCATCCCTAGAAATCTTTACATATGGCCTTTAACTTTTATTAAAAAAAAAAAAAAAAAATCTCACAGAACTTACTAGTCATGATGCCTGCAGGCTGTGGCTTTTGAAATACCACTCTACCAAGAAAAGATAAGTTTTTAAACTGAGAAAGAATAGTGGGTAACATGAAAAGCTTACAAAAGTAGTGCCAGGATTTTACCCACACCACAGGATCTCCTTCTTAGGGGCCAGTTCCATTACCTGAACCCCAATCTGTACTAACCAGAGTCAAGAGTTGGTTTCACACTCTTATTAAAAACATGGCCTGTCACACCTTCCAAAGGGCAGAATGAAGGTTGGATCTATAAGATCCACGACATCTATCTGATGTGTACTGTGGGAAAGTCAATGATAACCAAATTGCAGTCACTGTTTTGGAAATTAAGAAATGCGTAACATGACGTGTCCAAGCCAACCTTACTTATGATAAGGACGTCATATCCAGTGCTTGCATAGTCAACACACGCCAGTGTGAGGTGGTGGAGAATTTGTCTTTGTAAATACTTCAGATTTGACTGTTGTTCTCCTGGAATAAATTCCTTAATTCCTAATTTCTGCCCACAACAAAAACAATATTTCAAACTTTACTGACCAAAGAATCTAGCTCTGGGAGGTAGAAATGCCAGTAAAGTCTCACAACAAGCCACCATCAGGGAAATTAAAAACCTATTTTCTCCTTAAGGTGGCTTCTTAAGGAAGTGTAAAGGCAGTGTCAGCTTTAACCCAAGAGGCCTCAGTCTGAAACCCCAGGCTACACAGTAACATAGGAAGAACACACACAAAATACTAACACACGTGTCAGGAACAGCCCATTGCCTAATGGCAGTGACCAGAGAAAGAGTTTAGACCAAAGACAAAGGCTAGGCATTTGCTAAATGGAAAGATGGGGAAGTACAGTGACATTAGCGCACACGATGACAGAGAACAATGAGGCAGTTCTGTTTCTAAGGTCCATCTGTGGGCGTGTGTGCACCCACACACACACGTGCACAAGGACATTAACTAAAGGAAAAAAGGGATAAGGAAGAGGGATCTGCTTTCACTTGAATGTATTCAGAATCAGTTGATCCTTTCCTAAGAAACAAGTACACACTAAGCATTACTCAAAGACCTTCTATCAGCAAGTATGAGGAAGCAGCTTTGCTGTAGAATAAGTCTAAGAGTTATTTCTTGGTTTTAAAATTAAAGGATAATACAGCCAAAATAAGTAAGAACAGACATTACCAATTTTCTTCTCTAATGGTACAAAAACATTTAGCCAAAAACGATTTCTAACTTAACGAGTAGGATATATTTATAATAACGTTTTCAAGTATTTCAAGATCAACCCTGTACAGATGATACGCATATTTTAGAAATTCCAATACTTGCTAGGGAATTTTTTTTTAAAATACTAAACACCTTTGTCATTAATGCTACTTAACCTTATCAATTAACCTTCTAACAACCTATTACAAGAGAAACACAAACAGCTTAAAAATACCATATTGTTTTCTCCACAAAACAGATACAGTAATATATCAACACAAGTGTTATCTGGAGTGACCAGTAACACTTTATACCTTCATTTTCAGACCAGGTGATCTGTATAGGAGCCACGTGGACCCATTCCCTTGCTCCTCTAATTTATAACAATAAATACAGATTTTCTTAGCAAACTCGAGGGAAAACCTTTACAAACTTCAAGTCTCACAGCAGTTTCTACAGTGTTTAAATGTTTTAGGTGGGAAAATAATGTATACAAGTAAAATTTCATGTAGTTAGGGTGAATGCCTTTAAAATACAGCATTCTATTAATTATTAAGCCCTCAGGAGACCACAGCACTTATCTCCATGGTGCTGACCTATCTCTTGTAGACGTCAATGCCACTGCCCAGGTACACATTAAAGTGACTTCTAACCCTCTTGATCACGGTGTAACCAACTCAGGACTCTGCTCCTCTGGCTGACTACATCAGACAGGAGTGCGTACCACCCCAGTCAATGCTTTCACTTCAGGTGCAGAAATGTACAGCATAGGAATGTACAGAATGCCCTGCAATCTTACCCTAAAGTCCTGGAACCAATCCCAACAAATGGGGGAGGATTAATAGGACGTAGGAGTACCTACACGAAGACCGTGACCTCCCATCGCTCCTCCTCTCCCTACTGGCCCAGGGCCACTCCTTCCCCTCCTCCACTTTCTTTTCTCTCCTACATTGCTCTACTCTCCTCAGATGTCAGAACTACCTTGCTTGCGAGAACCACTGCCATGTCTGAAGAAGAATCCAGACCTGCTCCTCACCAGTGAGTTGGTCAAGGTGTGACAGTCATACAGGACTCATACACTTTTGAAAAGATGGTGCAGTGAAGGAAAAGACACTCAAAATAAACTGAAACTGAACAATAAAGAACCCTTTCTGTGCAAAAATATTTGGTTTAGAAGATACAGTAAATAAAATAATTATATATTTCTTAAAATACAGTATCTGACTGACATCCTTAAATCCTACATGTACATTACTTCCTGACAGCAAATTCTCAAAAGGCAATGAATAAAAAGACAATTCAGGTCATCCTCAAATATCACAAGCATATATATTTTAAAGATCAGGTAATGATTTTCTGTATTTATATATACATTCTATAGTGGGATGGCAATTTCCAAATAAAATAAAAAACTAAAGGTGCAAAATAAAAGTTTCATTTCTGCAGGAAAGGAAAGCTCTGGTGGAATCAAACAGGAAAGTGAGGCCTCGCAGCACTTGTCCAGGTGCCTTCCTCACAGGGACATGTCCTGAAATGTTCCCAAGAGTGACTGGTCGGGCAGTGTGGCCCCTAGAAAGCAGTGTCTACATCACTCCTAAGATTGCCTTCTGCAGATCACCCTTCAGAGATCTCACTTATGTCTCAACTGGGTTTTAAAATGTTGTTGTTTCTGGGGAAAAGTTAACTGTGATCTACAAACGACTCGTTTTCCACCTCACCTCTCATTCTACTGTTCTTGTTAAAGGCAAAAGCAAATCCTAAAATTTCATCTCATAGAAATACAGAGCACACCACAAAATAAATAATATTGATAAAAGAATCCTCCTATACACAGTTACAAACAATTCAGAAGGTGAGGATCTGCGGAGGTCACTGTTGCAATACTTCAGTGGGCGCACTGCTCTGATTGTGTTTCTCTGTGTCAGCACTGGGGTTGGTGTGATCTCCGGGGGCAGCAGGGCTAGGGCCAGCCGAGTCCCCAAAGCGACCTTCAACCTGAGTCCACGAGGACAGTGACTCATGCACGGTGATGGTGTGTTCTTCCATCTGACGCTGCAGGCTGTCCATCTCCTGCCTGGGGGAGGGGACACAAGAGGCAGCGAGAGAACACCAGGTCAGAGCAAAGCCAAGCCAAGAGGCCTCCAGCTCCCTGAACAGAGGCAAAGAGAGTTATCCACATTCTCTGATGTCAGCTTGCTCCCTAGCATTTGTGGTGCCTTCAGGAACCAACAGGAAAATCAATGAGGTCTTGAGTTGAGAGGCTCTCCCTGTGTGGTTCTCTATGCTGTGCCCAGAGACTAATGAGCTCTGTGGCTTGGGCACAGGCACGCTTGTTTGGAATAAGGAAGTGACACTGGGGAGAAAGGAAAAACAGATCAAAGGTCTCAATAACCAAATCACTGCCATAGGAAGCCCCGTGTCAGGGCAGTGTCACACATGACTTCACTCTACTCACAGAGTCAGATGCAATACCCCATTACCTCCCCACAGAGGTGCCCCAAGCACTGGCCCCACCACCCAGGATGGGAGCATCCACCTCAAGGACGCCGTAACATAGGCTTGGAAGCCATATCTGTGTAAGCACAACCACCCCTAAACGGAAGAGTGCTCAAGCTGTCAGTTCAACACGGAACTTCAGCTGTGAAGACCAAACAAAAGGAAACAAGGTGCGTACTTCAGTTGCTGGAGACAGGTGTTCAAGTTCTTCAGGGGCTCCTTGCTCACAGCAGGCGGGGGCCTGAGCAGCTCCTCTAACAGTGAGGCGGGGACTGGGCAGTCAGGAATCTTGACTGGTGTCACAGGGTTGGAGGAGCTGGCTTCACCCTTCAGCTCCTTCCTCTGTTGCAAGGCATATCATTAGCTTTCCCATTCAGAGGCCCAAAGCCACTACCCTTCCCTGTGGAGGTCTCTGACCACCTTCTAGCTATCTCCTCTATTACCACACAAGGGTTCTTACTGAGCCTCCCCCACCTGGACAGCAGGTCCTCATGGGAGTAGAGGGGGAGGGCCACTCATTCAGTCTTAGTGGTGCCTGACAATCACAAGAATTAGGAGCCACTGGTCACTGAGTACATTACTCCCATTTGTAGCACACGTGAACAAGGTGCCAACAACAGGCTTTTATGTTTGGACTGGATGCTCCTCTGAGAAGCTAGCATCTCTGATCTATCAAAAATATTAACAAGGAGAACTTCCAGTAAGATGGAGGAACAGGCAGACAAGTAACACAGATTCTCTTCAACAAAGAAAAGAAAAACCAATTGACAAGAGATACAGAAGATAATCCTGGAGCCCTGAACTTTGAAAGGAACTATATAGAAGTCAATTAGGCACCAACTAGTGGAAAAACCTGAATGAAAACAGTGAGTACACAGATGGCAGGAGCTGTGGACTGTCAATTACTCTGATAGGACCAACAGTCTGAGTATTTCCAAGTGGTGTTGGGACCTGAGAATTGACCTAAAGATCAGCTCTGGTCATCAAGGGCTGCAGGGATGACTGTGCTGGTGGCCTATAACTAGGAAGGGAAACAGCAAGGAGGGAGATAACCTGAGCTGTTGACTTTCTGCTGTCTGGAGGTGCAGCCATTTTGAATGTTTACATGCGGTGGCTATATTGGATATTTAATGTGACAGAGGGCACAGCCATTTTGAATCTTTACAAGTGGCAGCCTTTTTGGATTTTAAAGTGGTAGCATTCTCATTCGGATTCCAGGGACCTAAGAATAGGCTCTGTTTGCCAAGGTCGGCAGGGACGTACAAGTGGCTGGAAAGGAGACAGGCAGTGAGTGTATAAGTGCTGTCAACTAGTAAATAGGAGCATAGTACCCTGCTTGCATAGATAACATACAAAAAGAAACAAAGAAAATGAAAATCATGGGCAAGTCAAAAACGTCACAATGCCTCGAAGACAACAGAGCATCACAGTCCACACACAAAGAAGCAAGATAAAGTAGGAGAAAAAAGGGACCATGATACAGATCCAAAACACATCCCTGAGGAAGACACAGAATTGGAACTCCCTGGTAAGGAATTCAAGAGAATTATATTTAGGTATCTTCAATGAATTGAGAAATAGATCAAGGAAAACATAGAAAAAACCCTAGAACAATTCAAAAGACAATACAAGAACAAATGACAAAATAAATGAAAAATTAGAAATGATACAAAATCTACACACAGAAATCCAGAAAATTAATACTAAATTTTCAAAAATAGGTAAGACATTGAATGGGCAAAGGAGCAGAACTGAATCAATGGAAGACAGAATTAGAGAGATTGAAGGCAAAATACCTGAACATTTCCTTGGAAAGGGCTAAATCAGAAAAAAGATCAAAACTAAATGAAGAAAGCCTAAGGTTCATGTGGGATACCATCAAAAGGAATACCCTACATGTAATCGGAATTCCAGAACAGGAAGAGACAAATAAAACCACAGAGAAAATTGTTGAAGATTTGTTGGAAGAGAACGTTCCTGGTATGATGAAAGATGAGAATATGTCCATTCAGGAAGTCCAACGAACCCCAAACAGGATAGACCCGAAAAAGAAAATCACCCAGACATATCATCATCAAACTCATCAAAACCAAAGACAAAGAATCATGAGAGCAGCATGGGAAAAACGAAAAGTTACCTGCAAGGGGTAACCAGTAAGTCTAAGCTCAGATTTCTCAGCAGAAACCATGCAGGTGAGAAGACAATGGGATGGTATATATAAAACACTGAAAGAGAAAAATTTCCAACCAAGAATTAGGTACTCAGAAAAACTGTCCCTCAAATACGATGGTGAAATTAGGACATTTCCTGATAAGCAGAAATTAAGGGAATTGGTTAAAACCAGACCAACCTTTCAAGAGATGCTAAAGGGAGCCCTCCGGACAGAGAAGCAACAACAGCCAACAACAACTGACCATTAACACACATGATGATATAATCAAAAAACCAACCCAGCTACAGAAGTATCCAAAGTAAATATGCCTATAAGATTGTAAACAGGAACCAGAGACGTCAATTGACAAATGAGGACAACTACAAACCAAAAAGAGGGAAAAAACTGTGTTGTTACAGAGCTTTTGTCAAGGGAAGTCAAGATAGCTACAAGATAGAATGGACTGTTCTAAACTTGGGAAGGAAACTATAAATCACAGGGTAACCTCAATGAAAAATGATAAACCTTCACAACAAAAAATAGGATCAGCATAAATATTCAGCAAATTCTAAAACAAGAGGAATGAAGGAAGTGATAACATGATTCATAAATAAAACGAGCTCAGCATAGAAAATTATATGGAACAAAAAAATCACCACCACAAAAAAGCACATAACAAAAATGACAGCAACAAATTTATATTTGCCAATAATTACATATCTGGTGAGGGACTTATCTCTAAGATTCATATCAGAAGAGGAGATGACCAAACTATGGTACATACTATAATGGAATGCTATGCAGCACTAAAGAAGAATGTAGAGTACAAAACACTGCATAACATGGATGAACTTGGAGGACATTATGCTGAGTGACGTAAGTCAATCACAGAAGGGCAAATACAGTATTAGTTCGTTGTTGTGGAGGATCAAGGACATGTTTATATATGGAGGGAAACTTTGTTCGTTACCAGGGGTGGGAGAGGAGGGGCAGGAACACTGAAAAAAAAATAAATGCACTGACCCATGTCACTTTAGTTTTGTGTATTTCACTGTACATAAACTACATTTCAATAAAATGCATTTTAAAAAAATAAAAATAAATGCATTTTAGAGAAACAGTCAAACACTGTTCACAATTACTACCTCAAAAAAAGTGAGAAACTGAAATTATATACATATCATTTTCCCCAGAACCATTAACTACAATTTTAGAGTAATACTTTCTTTCAGGTGAAAATACTAATTTTTAAAAATCCGTATTCTCACAGAGAAAATTTTAAAGGATATAGTAAAACCCAGGTTTTACTAAAGAAGCTTTAGTCTTGGGTTGAAACTTTTTAATTGAAACTTGTAAAAATTCGGTCTAAAGGGAAAAGTAGTGTCTCCTTTTTCACCTTTCTCCAGAGACAAACACAGCTGGAAACTTCACGTGAATCCTTCTAAATATTTCCTACATATATACAAGCATCTTAACCCACAAACACCTGTACACACACTCACCCTCTCACACACACACTCACACAGTGCAAATGTGAATGTCTACTATGTGCCGGCCCTGGAGACAGATACTGGGAGGAAGGGGCAGACAGGAGACTTGGTCCTTGGCCTCCTGAAGCTCCCATCCTAATGGAGGAGGAAGACAGGAAGAAACAACAGACTAGGTACTGTAATGGCTGAGGTACTACGTGGTGCAGAGTAGAGGTTTACTTCAGATTTGGGGGCAGCCTCTCTGGCAAGAGGATTTGTCTACTGAGTCAGCTGACACGGAAGCAGGAGAAGGACATAGCCATGAAGGGTGTCCACATGAAAAACGGCCAGTGCACAGGGTGCACATGAGCTTTTTTGTCTGCTCTGAGCACACTACCCTGCACCTGGCTGCACACACCTCACACCACCCACGGCACACCGTTCCCCTGTTGCACACGCGTGCCGCCAGGCACAGTCTGTCAGGCCTCCAGTGAGGAATGCGCAGGCCCTCTGCCTCCTTCTCTGCCACCAGCAATGCTGTGATGAACACCTCTGTACTCTGGACACACACAAGAATCGTTCCTTTCCAGTAAGTTGCTGGAAGGAAAACGCGTGTCCCAGGAAACCCAAACTGTTTTCACAGAGACTAGAGAACGCATTCCAAAAGGACCCCATGGGTTTCGATTTGAAACTAGGAGAAAGCCACACACACCTGTTCCTGGAGGCTGTGCCCCTTCGCCTTCTCCTTCTCCAAGGCGGTTTGCAAGGCCTGGACCAGCTGCTTCATCTGCTGATCCTCCTTCTCTTTGCGCTGCAGAACTGCCTGCACCTAGATCGCATCGCAGAGCCATCAGCAAGGAAAGGCTTGAAATCTCAGAACCCTACAGAGCCGCAGAAGCACGTGCGTGAGCCACAGGCAGGGCCACTCCCAGGGGACAAGCCCAACAGCAGGGATACCACACACAGGCCGAGACGTCCCCCAACGAAAGTGTGACCTCAGAAAGCACAGAGACCCCCATTTATTTCTGGAGAATACTGAGACAAAAGGAAAAATGACTTTAAATTCTCTACTGACAGAACTCCATTCTCGGGCCCCAGGTGGCCTTGGTTGTCCTTTACGAGCCCTGTTCTGGGCTCTGCTGCTTCTTTCTTGGAAGGCCCAGCCTGCTCCTTAGCACAGACGCCAGACCCTGCTGGCCGAAACCTGGTCCCTAATCCCAGGAGGTCTTCAGGAAAGGATCCTTTACATACAGTGTGACTGCCTCCAACTGGAGACAGCCTGGTGCACTAGCCTGGGTTGACCACACAAAGGAAAACATACCCTCCAGACTCCCAGGTGAGAGCCTGAGCCAGGCACTGTCTGCACCAGCTGGGCATCCCTACGCCTCCGCTGCCCCGTCTGCACATGGGACAGACACTTTCCTCAGAGGTGGGGATGAGATGCACCCATGGATAACACCCATGAGACACTGAGGACACCAGCTTGCACCAGCTTGCAGAGCACCTCTGGCTCTGCTTGGGGGAGTCTGCACACCTGCAGGTTCAGCTGGACCAGATCTGCCTCCCTCTTAGCTAAGGCTGTCTCTAAGACGCTGTTGTGCTCCCGCAGGGCTGCGCTGGACTGGCCCAGGCCTGTGAGCTTCCCTCTCTCATGCTCCAGTTCCAGAGCCAGCTTCTTATTCGACTCCTCCAGGCGCCTGATCTTCCTCTGGAAACCTCTAGCTTCCTGAAGCTGAAACAGATGAGAGGAGTCATGAGAAGACACACTCCAGTCCCAGAGTTGTCACCCACGCCAAGAGGCCAGCAGTTCTCAGGGGCCTGCAGAACACCTGCATGCAGCGCGCCGTGTCCTTTCAGCAGTGGACGTGAGGCTGCTACTGTCGGTGCTTCCCTTCCCCATCATACTGCCTCCCCTACAGCCAATGGCCCCAGTTTGTCTTGGGGACCATGAGCTTCTGGAAAAGGACATCCACTGAGTAGGAACGGGCCAAGTTCAGCCCCTCAGTGCCCTCTGGCAAGTGACTGGTCCCGGATGGGTACCTCAGCCTCACACAGGGACACCCTTGACTCGTTTCTGAATGTGAGAAAAGTAGCTGGCACTCCGGAACTGCCCTGGTGGAGGCGCTGAGCTTAGGACAGACAGACACACAAGGGGCAGGAGGAGGGCTAGGGCCAGTGGAGAGAGTCCTTGGTAACATCACTGGTGATGGCCCTGAGCTACTGCACCCCCCACTCAAACCCATTAGCTAATGGTTTGAACCATGCTGAGTTGGGTTGCCAATCACTTGGAACCAAATCACTCTAACCAACAGAAGGGCTACCATTACAAATTCCACCTTCATTGGCTGTTCCCTACTCGAATGTCAATAATAGAAGACCAAAAGGTGCAGTCAGAAGGTGGACAAAATGCAGCTGTACAGCTGAGCACACCCACACAGTGCTGCTCCCTCCAAGGCACACACTCGTTTCCCTGGGGTCCCCAGTCCTGAGCAGCCTAGCCCACTCCCTCACTGCTCCTGCCAGCAGCCACGCAGGCAGTTACCTCGTCCTCGAGTTCCAGCACCTTCTCCCGCTGCTCCTCCAGTTCCTGGCTGGTCATGGAAATGACCTCCTGCAACTCCTTCTCCAGGAGCATCTTCCCGTGGCTGACGGTCTGCAGCTCCACCTCCAAGGTCCGGATTCTTTCCTGACCGCAAGACAAGAAGATGGAGCTGGCCACAGACTTCACTACACCACACGATAGACAGCTGTGGAGTCCCACTGGCCTCCTGTCTACCTCTGGTGTGACACTGACCACAGGAAGAACTTAAAATAACCTTAGAACACACACACTAATCACACACAAAGGAAACATTACGACAAACAAGTAAATGTGTCAGTTCAATGCTTTGAAAACATACTAAGATTTCAACATGCACGTAAAAGATAAAAGTTACCACTTATGGCAAATAAGCGACACTGGAGTGCTATAACAAACACCACACACACACATACACACACACTCAGCATACACAGCACCACATTCATAAACACACTATGTACACACACATCACACTCACACACACCACACACAGCACCCTAAACACACCATACCAATGTCACACTTGCCATATACACACCAGATATATTACATACACATCACACACACCACACACACCCCCACAGCACAGTCACACAACACACCAAAAAACCACTCACACCTACAACACATTCACCACACAAACCATACACACCACACTCAGCATACACAGCACATTCACACATACACTACATACACACACATCACACACACACCACACACATCACCACATACACACACCATGCCAGTGTCACACTTGAGTTACATATACCACACACCCACCACATACATACATATGCTACTCACCACACACCTCATACATAAACATCACACACACCACACACTCACCATACATGCACCGTATTTACACATACACCATATGCATACACATTACACACATCACCATTACACACACCATACCAGTGTCACACTTGCTATATATTTATACTATATAGACATCCCACTCACCACACACACATGCCACATACCATACCACTGTCACTTACCACATACACATCACACAGAAACCACAACACACACCTACAACACTCACCACACACACTACACACACTCACCACAACCACACACTCACCATACACACATGCAAACACCACACCCCCACATACACACACATTACACTCACCACACAGCACCACACACACTACATACACATCACTTACCATGCACAGCACCACACACACATCACCACACCAATGTTACTTACCACATACATACACATCATTTACCGCACACACCATTTACCAGTGTCACGTACCATATACACACTACATGACACAAATATCACAACATACACCCACCACACACACCGTACATACAGCACCACACACCCAGAACACTCTCACCACACATGCCCACTACACACACCACACACAGCACTACTTATCACTCACCAGTGTCACACTTATCATATACACACAGTACACGACAGATACCCACAACATACATTGCATATACCACACTCACCACACATCAGTGTCACACTTACTACACATACCACATGACACACTGACCCTCACCCCACAAACCCATTACATCCTCTACACGCATTCACTACACAAACACAGCACCACACCTCACACACACCACATACCTCATACACACTCACCACACCCACACAATACACACACCACGTATCCCACACTCACCACACACACACCAGTGTCACACTACACATACCACGACACAATGACACCACCATACATGCTCATTACATACACTACGTGTACTCATCACACACACACTCACCACACACACAACCCCACACACACACTTGCTCCCACTGCTGATGGGGGGGGGGGGTCACTGTTCTGAGCACTTGACTCGTATCATCTCATTTAACCAACCTTATGGGAGAGGTTCTGGTATTTACCTCCACTGCAGCTTCATTTTAATGAGGATCAAAACAGCTGAGTAACTGAAATTTTCAAAGGCCATCATCTGACAAGTGATGAAGTGCAACAGAAGCCCCCACTTCAGGTGCTCTAGCCCATTCTCTCACCCAGCTGCTGCAGCTACTGGTTAACGGGCCTATGCCAAGGGGATGACCGGGTCTACGTAGCTCTTACACCCTTTCATTATTACCACACGCTCTGAAGAATTTTTAGAAGTCAGACATTTTTCAAAGTGAAAAGGAGAAAGACAACGAATCAATTCTGCCCCTGACACTGCAGCAAGAGCTGGGGGAGGAGTGTTAATGTGACAAGATGGCCCCACGCCCCAACACGCAGTCTCCTCCTTCTCGTCCTGAGCTCTCAATACTCTTCCTGAATTCAAGAGCTGGGGGAGGAGTGTTAACGTGACAAGGTGGCACCACGCCCCAGCACGCAGTCTCCTCCTCCTCATCCTGAACTCTCACTACTCTTCCTGAATTCTGAAACGGACAGGAGACAGAAACTAGCCATCCATAAAAGAAGACATACAATATACTAAAACCTGGGTGGGATGACTCAAAGCAGAGGGTAGTGAGATGCGAAACTGGTTAGCGACAACAGTTGGGCACCTACTAGTAAGACTCAAAGAAGACCAGTAACGTCCACGCGGCACTTACATGGAAGGCGAGGCTGCTGCCACCAACGTCGGCACCCTGGGCCCGCAGCTCGCCCAGCTTGGCCTCCGCGGACTCCTGGGCAGCCAGGGCCTCCTGCAGGCGGCGGCTGAGGATGCCCACGGCGTTCTCGTAGGCCCTGTGCTTGGTCTTCATCTCCTTCTGGGCACTGCTCAGGTCTGAGCCCAGACGCTGCATCCTGTGCTTCTGCTCTGTGATGGCCCTGGGAGCCACGCGGGAGGAAGAGACTTTACTGCAAGCCTCACCCGTTCACGCGCACAAGCCACGCCCACCTTGCTGACCCTTCATCTCTGGGCAAGGGGCTTGGACAAGGTCCTCAGCCCCCAGAAACAGTTCCCCTTGGGGAGACTTGGGTGAGGGGCACACAGTGCACAAGGTGCTGTGAGAGCAGAGGCCCAGCCATGCGGCCCCAATCCCGTTACTCTCTCACCGCCCTGACAGGCCACCAGACAGGATTCTGTGGGGACTGAGAAACAGCTCCTCGCCCACCATACCAAGTCTTCCCAACACTCCTGCTGGATAGCCACGAGAAGCCAGAGAAGTCAGGCCCGTTCATGAAACGCTGCCTGGTAAAAGCAGCAGTGTGGGGATGCCGTGTGAGTAACGAGGCCCCCCAGGAGCATGCATGCCTACATGTGTGCACGTGTGTGTGCATGAGTATGTGTGTGGGGTGTGTGAGTTCACCCAGTGTGTGCACAAAAGGAGTAACTGAGGACAAACACCAAAGTGACTGTTCAAGGAGCTGGGATGAAGCTGGGGGATAGGCAGTAAGCATGCAAAGGAAGCCAAAACAAGGCGAGCTTTGCCTAAGATGCTTCAGCAAATTGAACGACGAACTCTGGAATTATCTTCCAGAGCAAGCGATCACCACCACATCACGACAGAGTCGACAGATTTTAAATCTGGAATCTAACTTCCTAGGCCACACTCACTGCTGATCTGTGGCGTTTTCAGGCTCCATGATAAGAGTGTCAATTATTTTACCCCATGTGCTCCCCAGGGTGAGGAGTGGGATGAGCTCTTGACCGTGATCTCCTGCATGTACCACTCATGCAGACACATCCAGGAGGTCGTGGCTTCACTGGTCCCATAGCATCACTCACACGCAGACTCACATCTTGGCTTCTTCCTGCAGCTCTTCTATTTGTTTCTTCAGCATCTCATTGGCTTTGGTAAGAACCATCATCTGCTCCTTATCAAACTGCAAAGACTTCAACGACAAAGGAGAAAACCAGTATGAGATGTGCCAAAGGCACCGGGGTCTCAGGTCAAGGGTGACCTCGATGGGGTGGGCTTTTGTAAGGACCACCACACCAAGGCTGCATGCTCTGAGCCCACCCCACAGCTGCCTAGGCAGGGGCCCTGCACTGATGGTTGCAGCACACCCTGCCCAGGGTGGGCTTCTGTAATGACCACGCCAAGGCCGCATGCTCTGAGCCCACCCCACAGCTGCCTGGGTCGGGCCCTGCACTGATGGCTGCAGGACACCCTGCCCAGGGGTGGGCTTCTGTAATGACACCAAGGCCACATGCTCTGAGCCCACCCTGCCCAGTGCCTTTCCCAGCCTCCTTCCACCAGGTGTCTGACCAGCTCATAAACAAGTCTTCCAGAGCTGGCTCCATCACAAGTAGGACACTGGACATCTGAGTGGATCTGTCTTCTCATCACCAGAGACGTCACACACAAATGCACCCCACCGCTTAGAAACTGGGCTGCTCAAACCAAACACTAACGCTTTGACCGACAACATGGCTCCTCTAACCTGCCCTTGTCAAAGCCACCAGGGGCCTACACTGCTCACTCAGTCAAGCGGCGTCAGCCCACCTCCCTGCCCCCTCCCCAGTGAGTCCTCAGGAGACCCCAGGCTGGGCCTTCACGGGCCACTCCTGACCTGCAGGTCCATCTCCACATCATCGCGCTCCTTCTGCACCACCTGCAGGTTCCCCTCCAGATCTGCCATCTGCCGGTGCACCTGGGACACCTCCCTCTGCAGCTGTGAGTGCTCCGCCTCCACCAACTTCTTTTCTCCCTGGAGTTTGATGAGCTCTTGCCTCAGCTCCTTCAGCTCGGAGTCCAGCCTCTTCTTGGTAGCCTTCAGTTCACTGATGAGCTGGTCTTTGGAGGTGGCATCCCGGCGGTAGGCTTCTACCATCACCTGATGTCAAAGCAACAGTTACAACCAACATGAGGATGGGGCAGGCACTCTCAGGGAGCAGGGAGGGAAAAGAACACCCAGATTAAGCAGTTCCACTGCTCACTGAGAAAAGCTGGAATGGTGAGCTCAAGGTACTTACTGACCGTATTTCCTCAGATCTAAGACCCTACCGACTACGCACACACCACACTGCGTGCCACGAGTGCCGCGTCAGCAGTGTCACTATGCCCTAACCAGGGTCTGGTGCAAAGCAAGCGGTCACACTACCCTCTGATTTCCTCCAGCCCAAGGAACATGGCAATTTCTTCTGCCTCCAGTTGCTCGGTTCTGGAGTAACCTTCTTGCTTGAATCTCGGTATAAAATAAAGGCTGCTTTGACCACTCTGGGCTGTTGCACTTTCTCAGATCCCTTAAGGCCTGGATAGTGCTCTGCAAGCAGCTCCAGCTTCACATGTGCCCCCACAACAGACAGCTGCTTCACTCAAAGTCCCGTTTGCACCCCAGGCCCTCCTGCAAGTGCTATACTGGTTTTAATACTGAACCAGGGACTGGTCTTCAGAGACATTCTAAGCAGCAAACTCTCCATGGAGTGATGGCAGCACACATGTGTGCTGGGTGACAGCCCCTCAGGGAAGCCCACACAAGTTCCCCCCAGGGCAACCAGTGCCAGCCACCCTCAGCCAACCTGCAGAGAAGATGCCCCTGACTTTAGAGGGCTGGGGGCACACAGCTTAGAGCCAGGGAAGTGCCCTCAAAATAATGGAAATGGGTTCTCCAGGGTAGGGGTTTCTCTTCTGTTTTGTTCTACTGGAGAAGTTACATGACAAAAGGCTTTCTCACACATTTGTTTCACATGAGGAAACCCAACAACAACGTTTTACCTTTTGTTGAAGAAACTGCTCCTTTACTTTCTGTGTCTGCCTCTTCAGTGTGGCTGTCTCCTGTTGCAGACACTCTACCTGTGGAGAATATGTTTGCACAATGTGTTACTCTAGAAGGTTCTGGAAAGGCATGCCACCCAGAGACACTCCTATGACCCACACAGCAGTCACTGCACGGAGATAAAGTCTCCCTGGATGGGGCCAGTGCTTTCTGACGGTCACTGCATCAGGAGGTGGCATGCCTCTCATCCCATGTTGCTTAAAGAGAATTAAAACAAGGAGACAAGGAGTGGGGAGGTAAGAGGAAAGGG